CGATGATGTGATTTGAAACAGGCGATGCCAGCAGGTGATTATAATCAAGATTTGGTACAAAAGCGGCATCCAGGGAAAGCCTAGTCCTTTAGGAGCAAAAATGGGCTGAGGATCGTCAGTTTGCCCTGAAATGCGTGAGAAACTTATTGAAATGTTTCAAAGGAAGGGATTTGGGTATTTCACCCTCTACGATGTATAACATAATTAAAAGATTTAAGGAACCTGGGGGAATTCCAGCGTGTAAAGGGCAAGGGTGCAAGCCTTAGCTGAATAACTGTGCTCTCCGATCCCTCAGACAGCACTGCATCAAGAACCGTCATTAATCTATAAGCAATATAACCACATGGGCTCAGGGTTCACCTTCATCAAACACTACAATACATAGTTACAGCCACAAATGGCAGTTAAAAATTTACTGTACCAAAAGGAACCCTTATGTTAACCGTGTCCAGAAACGCCGTCGACTTCTCTGGGCTTGGAAGCATCTGGGATGGACCTACACACCGTGGAAAAGTGAACTGTGGTCAGATGAATCAATATTTCAGGTCTTTTTGGAAGGACGTAAGGGTATGGGTGCTGGGCTTTAACATACCGTGCCACCTTTTCTGGTTTGGAGTTGTAATTGAAAATAGTAATAATAACATTCTAATCTGCCCTCAGAGGGCAGATAGAGTTTGAATTTTGGAGCCAATGAACAACAAACAAATAATACTCAGTTAAGCCATCATGGAAAGTATCAGTTAGATCCTCAACTGGCAGCGAACAGATTTTTTAACTGTTTTGTTCTGTTTGAAGGGTTTGTAAATATTCAATAACGATAGTAAAACGTTCTGTTTCCCGTTACCTCAGTTGGAGACATTGTACTAAGCCGCTCTCCAGAACAAGCCCACCGCACCCTAAAACCGAGACAAGATCGAGTCAAAATAATGTAGAGATCAAGACAAGACCATTAATTTATGGTCTCAAGACTGGACTTCAATACGACAACACTAACTGGCTCTTTAACTTATTTTCACTTAGAAAATTGACAAATAATTTGACTGGCACTGTTCAAACTTCTGTATACAACTATATGAACAGAACTTGTTCGTTTACATTTAGCACAGCAGGCTCACCTCTCAGCTGTGTTGTTTCCCAAATGTTGTTAGAGTGAAAAGGAAAAAACCGAAACCCTGAGCTGACTCTCTTCTCATGAAACTGTCTCAGAAAGCCTAGCCAATGAAATGTCAACATTAATAATTCCCTCTGCTACAGCTAGCACCTGTCCAGAAGTGAGTCAAACCAGGCCGAGCATGGTTCCTCTCTTTCTCTCTCTCTCTCTCTCTCGCTGTCTCTCACTTGCTCTCTCGCTCTCCAAGCCCCTTGGCACCCAAGTTCAAGTCCAAAAAATCAATACGCTCTGTGGGTGGGCAGACAGTTCCTTTAGGCAAAAGTGACAACTGTACAGAAGGCTCCATGCACATGCTCACTCTGAGTGTGCCAAAGCTTGCCTCGGTGGCATCAGCCAACCCACCCACACAGATGGCTTGTGCAACAGTTTTAACAAAAACATCCCTGAATGGATTGACGGACTGTACCATTGAACAAGTACGGCGGTTCCACACTTGGATATTTGGCTTCAAGATTTCTATAGTGCTGTAGGATACTACAGTATGCTATAATACTTTCACCTCTGTGAAATATTCCTGTAGTCCCATCTCGTAGTGAGATTATTGTAGGAATCCTATAGAAATTCCTGTAGTTTTATTTCAGTTCATTTTCATAGGAGCTGTCTTATGCTTATCTTTCTTGCTATTGAGACACCACCCATATAGCTAGCACAACAATTACACTAGCTTTAAAGCAACACTGTGGAGACCTCTCTGAGAACTCGGTGAAAACTTGTTGAAGGACGTGTCTTCCGGTCAGCCAAATATAGCTGTCTGAGTGCTACTTGCTACTTGCTAGTCATACAAAGCTCATCGGAACAAACCTGCAGTGAGAACGACGTGGCAGTAAGTCAGTGTAAAGTAGTGCAAAAGTGGGGATTGGTGAAGGACATGTCTTCTGAAGATATGAGTGAATCATCTACTATTGTCATAATATCATTAGTATGATGTTGATTTAAGACCTAAACATTGAGTCAGACCTTTTTAAGCCTGTGCATTTGACGTTAATAAGACGTACCATGTGGTCCAAAAAAACTCGCCAAATCCGTCCTGGGACCTCTGACTTTTAAATGATTATTTAATTAAAAATAATTTTAGTTATTTTACTGTGTTATTTTGTCTCCATATATAAGAAATACTACTTCTTTCAATTTTAACAAAAAATATTACATAGTGCTGCTTTAAAGGGAAATTCCTGCCTAAGTTAGCAGTGATGTACGATATAAACCAAGTCATTCGGTGTGGTTTGATGTGAAATGTGCCAACTTACAGAATCAAAATTGTTCACAGCAATGATGGTGATAGCAGGTGACAGAGGATAATAGATGGTGATAGTAACCAGACAACTCCAGAATTTCATGCTTCTAAAAGCTCACAGAAAGTTCTTAAATAAAATGTCTAGGCACACACTGCCTGACGCTTAGGGCTGAACAACTTGGAGAACATATCTATTTTGCTGGCCAATAGTGTGACTGCGATTTAAACTGTGATTATTTTCTACAAATTCAGGTCCAGGCCATAAACACCAGCCAAGTGTTCTGGGTCAAGGCTTGGATGCTGAACGTAGTGCATCAGCCTGCCTGTTAGTTGTGGTTGTGATGTCACAGCACACGGGTGTTTGGTTGCTTCTGATTGGTCTAACTCATCTACAGGTAGTTCACAAGCTACATGTTATTAGTTTGAATTTCCCCATTTAAAACTTGCTAGGACAGCACTGTTGGTAATGTAGGCTATAATTAAAATAGCAGCCCCTGCAATTTGACAATTGCACTCAGTTAAATAATAATAATTAGAATAATAATTATTATTTGATCAAAAATGAATTTTAGTCCTGGTGATTCTAAAACAATGAGTGTGTTTACATGCACTCAATAATCCTATAACTGTAGAAAATCTAATTTTTTTAGTAATCCAATGCGTCAACACGTTCACATGCGCTTGGGTAATCAGATAATGGGAAAACTCTGGGTCATTGGTAATCGGATTTCTGCTTTGCAACCGGCCAATAAACTCACAGAAGATGTGATGTAAACGTAACGTAAAACTCAAACTTCAAAGAAAACAATGTTTTTCAGATTTACAATTATTTTACCATCATCAGTATTATTTACAGAAACTCAGTCTTTTTGGATGGTAAATAAAATGGCTATATTTTTGTTGTAAATATTTTGACTGTTTACATCACAATGATTGAAATATGCAGAAAATATGAAAACATTGGTGGAATTCCTCTTTCAGTAAAGCCTGGCTCTGTTACATTATCCCTAATGGGACAGCTAAGCTTTAACTTTGTGTGGCTTTTAAGTGGCTCTGGGAAATACATTCAGGAACTCAAAATAAGAGGCTACTCAGTGCTAACATCTAACATCTCAAATCCAAAGTGATTAGGCTGTGCATTACAGTAATGGCTTCCCTGGTGTGCATCTGCAGGCGAAATCAAAATTCAGTGCAATAATGTAATGACATGCAGTGTAATAAGCCTAATGTAATGACAAGACATCAACAGTGATATTGATGCAAACATGCATGGAGAAGCCGACAATCAGCTATTCAGTGCAAACCCGCAGGGTAATTATAACACTAGAAGCGAAGGGTCGTTCCCTGCTTAGAGCAAGACTGCACTCTTAAGAAAGATTGTTCTTTTGTAAAGTTAATGGTTCTATTTAGAACCATGAGTTCATGCTTAAAGGGTTTTTTGCATGGTGAAATGGTTGTTTAGAATGACAGGTTATGTATTGTATATGGTTCTATATGGGACCCTTTTAAAAATGGCTCTATGCAGCACCAAAAAATGTTCTGTTATTGTTACAATGTCAAAGAAGAACCCTTTTGGTGCTGTACAGAACCATATATGACACAATCTCCAACAATCTGAACAACCATTTCACCATGCAAAGAACTATTTAAGCATGCAGCTTAATTTTATGTATAGTTCTATATAGATTCCGCGTAGAACCTTTTTGAAAATGGTTCTATATAGCACCAAAAGGGGTTCTGCTATTGTTACAAGCTTGACATCGTAGGAGAAGAACCATGTTTGGTGCTATATAGAACCGATTGTCAAAAAAGGTTATATGCAGAATCATATGCAACACATTCTTTATCACTCGGAAGACTGGCTTAATAGAACCTTGTTGAATATGGTTCTGTATAGCACCAAAAAGGGTTCTTCTACCATTACAAGCTTGACATCATAAGAGAAGAACCATTATTGGTGCTATATAGAACCATTGTCAAAAAGGTTCTATTCAGAATCATATACAACACATTCTTTACCAATTTGAAGAACCATTTAAGCATGCAAATGGTTGTTCGAGTGTTCATGGTCCTATAGAGAACCACTGTCTTTACTAAAGAACCCTTGAAGAACCATCTTGGTAAGAGTGATACATATCCAGATGACTTTACTAGGATTACTGACTGCCATACTTTCTCTGTCTGGCCACAAACGCGGTTTGAAAGCATATATAAGAACCAGGACCTTTTTACGTGAGGTCCAAAACAATAGGCCAGCTTTTATTTCTAACAGCAACGGCCTTCAGTCCAATTTCAGATCAATACACATCTGTAGACTGGCCCAGGCACAGGCCCAGTCCTGTCCATATCTCTGTCCTCCGCTTTGAAATGCCTGTGCTAGCCCTGTCCCTGTCCTTGGCATTTTATTTATGACACGCATTGTGGACAGACCTACCTACCGAGCAGAGAGATGAGATAATGCTCGCGCCGGGGGCTTACAATAACCAGAGAGGAGAGTAAAAGGGCGCAGGCGCATTAACGAGGACGCGTTGGCGTCCTAATAAAGAAACAGACGCGCAAGTGTCACTGTTTAACGCGTGTTCCGGTCAGTCCTACCTGTTTTAGGCTTTACGATGTCCCGAGCTTGCAGGGGGTTCGCAGCCTTGTCGTGCGTAATACAAACGGGACGCACGCTGGCACAGCCGCTGCTGATGCGTTGTTTTCTTTTCCCACCCGTATTGCGACTTCCACCCGTTTTACGAAGAACGCACTGCGATTGGTTTGCGGGTCGGACTCCCGCGCTACGATTGGCTGGTCGTTCTTATTGTGCTTTAGGCTGCGCTTGTCAACTCACCAAAGCCGATGATGTCACGTGACCATGTCTTCTATCACGGCTGTGTTCTGAACCGCTCCCTCTTAGATAAATAGTCCACTATGTAGTGTGTCAGTCATGTTGTAGTGGAGATCCAGGACTGGGCTGAATACCAAATACACTGTATTCAGTAACGAGTTCAGACAAGTCCAGAGAGGCCATGAGGTAGTTTTAATTTTTTGGACTGTTATTTTCAGATAACGAGTTAATTATCTTGTCACCTCAAGATAACAAATTGTTATCTTGAAATAACAAGTTACTTGTTATCTTGAAATAACAAAAGTTATCTTGAGATAACAAGTTAATTATCTTGTGATCTCAAAATAACAGTTATCTTGAGATAATGAGTTATATATCTTGTTATCTCAAGATAACAAAATTGTTATCTTGAAATAACAAGTTACTTATCTTGTTATGACAAGATAACAAAATTGTTATCTTGAAATAACGAGTTACTTATCTTGTTCTCTCAAGATAACAATCCAGAAAATTATAGCAACAGCTCATGGCTTCTCCGGACTTCCATAGTAACATATTCCATTACGATTCATAAACAATTACGTATTTAGAATGCATATTGATAAAACACACTGGGAAAACTCTGCTATTATAATGTTTATTTAATTCACACTGTTGATTTCTGTTGTTTCATTTTCTTCATGTAATCCTTCTGTTAATATGTTTAATGAAAAATCCACTTATTTAAAATTCATTATTTTGGTTCTCATCGCCTGCTTTGGTTCACTGCTGTTCCCACCTCTCATTAATTAAGCAAACGATTTGCCATATCCTAGTAACAAAAACGTAACTATAAAGTGGGTAGCTATGATTTTCAGTTAATAATATATGTATCTTGCCACAAATGAGTCCAGTACAACACTGAATGCTAAGCTTATTACTTGTGAAGTTCTGTCGTGTAGCAATGCTGAGATTAATAGCTGATCATCACATTGGTGTATCAGTTTATCAGTTTATCAGGCTTTAGCAGAAACCTCACACACTGTGCATTGATTTTAAACAAGCATTGACTGTGTTTCTTTGAAAGAGTTCTCTCCTAAAAAATTTAAAAATTAAATCCATTCTAAATACTGGCTTTATAAAATGTAACTTGGACTGAATAAAGATACTCAGTTTCTGTATTCTGATTACATATTCCCAATACTTGTATTCTGTTCCATACCAACCCTGTGGATGTTGAATTCCTAATACTATAATTGACTCTCTGTCATGCTGAAAAAAAGCCTTGCCCACCAAACTGGTTCTGGCTGGTATTCAGCCTCAAGTGGTTAGGCTGGTCATTTCAGTTCAGTTTTGAATATTTAGCCAGTCAAGTTCACCAGTCGGGCTGGATGTTGCTGCTCAGGCTCCCTGGCCTGGCTGTATGTTTGAAACCAGATAATGCTGTCTACTCAGGCATTGCCTGGAGACGGGGCTTCAAGCCATGTCCCAATGTAATGTTTGTGGTAACATCCTGTCTGCTGAGGTGCCTCCATCTGACCAATTTTTGAGGGCAGCATACATGGCTCTCCCTGCGCAATTGTGGTCATTCCCCTATTTGTCCAAATGTGTTCCATTTCTCTCACAGCGCGCAAGTCTATATCACTAATGTGACACATTTTCCAGTTTGTCCAAAGTGCGCAAACACTGATTCCAGGAAGTTACACCATTTTCCATTTACCCAAGATGTAGTTCACATATGTCAGGTTCCGGTCCTCGCAGGCCAAAACTCTGCAGACTTCAGCACGCTGCCTAATTAAACACACCTGATTCAGTAATTAGCAAGGCCTTTATGAACTGAATTCAGAGCACTAGATGAGGGTAAACATGGAATGTCCTCAATTTGACATGCCTGATGTAGTTGATCAACAAAGAGTCCAAATTTTACCTCTTTAATTTGGAACTGGAGCGGTGAGGCTAACATTGCTAACAACAACAGAACTCTATAGTCATTCAAATAGCAACACCAACCCACACAAACCACGTCCAGGTTTCCGTTAATGTCAGACTTGTTTGTGTGGTTTAGGACGCAGCATGACTTGCTGTGAACTATAAAACTGAATAAAACTGCAGGCTTTAGACAACAGAGTCTGTATTCACAAACCACTTCAGGAGCAGGGCTGCTGATCTAAAAGTAGCATTTCTGACAATGACCCTTATAAATACAGAGGAACTTGATCCAAGATCAGCCCCACTTTGTGAGTACTGGCCCTGGTGTTGTCTGAAATGACTGTCCATAGCAGTGAGGTTTTGTTCATTTTTAGGACATGAGATATTCCACTTTTCTTTTTACTAACATGTTCTGTTTTTTCCCCTTTCGTTCATTTCTTCTCATTCTCATGCTTGGAAAATCATTAAATCTAGTTTAGTAGTACACTAAAAATAAAGATAATTTGCTTAAACTATGTAAAACATTCATTTTTAAGTGAAAACGCTACTGAGACTTTACATCGGCCTTTCTTTCAGTAAGATGAACAGATGGCACATCTGTCCACTTTATATGCGTTCTCGGACATTTCAACAATCCGTCTTCACTGAGAGACAGTTAAACTTTTGTTCCATCTTGCACCCTGCATTTTCCCACCATGGTGCCTGAAGAAGCCCACTGTGGTGCCGTTCCATGAGATAGTGGCTCACTTGTTCAGCCGGAAGTCTTGTTTTTGTCAGTCGAGTGTTTCTTCTCTGGGCTATTTTATGAGGGACTAAGAGAGCAGACTTGTACAATATGGAAGAGAGTCTTTGACCTCTCTTCATAATATTGACTGGGCAGTTCAGATCCTACAGCTGTGACTTCCACAGCTGGTTTAACAGTAGCAGTAAGATGTGTTTAATCTTAAAAAAGATGGTTCTTTAGTAAAGAGGATGGTTCTATTTAGAACCGTGATTTCGATACAGAGCCATTTCATGTTTTATTAGTTCTTTGCATGGTGAAATTGTTCTTCAGATTGATGGAGAATGTGTATTATGTGGTTCTATATAGCACTGAAAAGAGATCTTCTATTATTACAAGCTTGGCAAGAACCTTTTTTTGTGCTATATGGAACCATTTTCACAAAGGTTCTATATAGAACCATATACAACATGTTCTCTAACAACCTAAAGAGTCATTTTAACGTGCAAAGAACCATTCAAGCATGAAATGGTTCTATATAAAACCATTCCCTTTTCTAAATATCCCTTGAAGAACATTTTTTAAGTGTAGCTTATCCCTGTAAAACAACTCAATACAGATGAGAAGTGGTGAAGTTGGTGTGTGGGAATATTACTTTATCTGGGAGTCTTGTTTCTAGCACAAGTGCACTAAATATAGGAGTCAGTTGGGGATTAAAGATGTATTATGCACTTTCAGTACAGTTACTCTAAAATATTACAAATTTCTGCAATACTGTCTTTTCCAGTTATATGCAACTATAATACAGTTACAGTGTCTAAACTATTGCATATTGACTGCAATATAATTCCTGTGTGGTTTATTTTAATCAAAGAATTTTACTATATTGCACATTTGATACATAGAGATGCTTAATGCTGCTACAGAGTCAATTTTACGTCATCGCTGTACTGTGATGTCTAAAAAAAATAATAAATGAATAAACAAAAAAAAATCCAACAATGAATCCATGAGGATTCCTGGGCCGTCTCCCACGCCCCATCTGCCGTTCACAACAAAACGGTGCACGTCCTCCTTCTCCCAGGGAACGACCAATGAAATCGATGGATACTGGATCGTAGGACACAGTCGGGCGAATCAAGCGGCATACGTGGTCCTCGTTCGAGGAATAACCAATGAAACGTGCGGACGTTGGCACGTGGGGGTGCTGTTTGCGAGGCTGATCGCTTTCCGTTGCTACAGCAGCATCTCCAAGGAGGAACGTTATCAAGAAAGATGGAGGAATTTGAAGGTAAGCACGTAAATAAATAACAGACGCGTTCCTTGTCCCTTTATGTCTTAGTTTGTCTTCAAACTGGACCTTATAGTGTTGGAATGACGCGGTTTAACAGGTGTGAACAATGCTGTCTGTCTTTTGTTGGCCAGCAAGCTAGGTTAACGTTAACCTAAGCGGTTGTTCCCCTTTTAATGATGTGTGATGATCCCAGATTTCTTGGCTCTGTTTGAGCCGTGAGGCTGCTCGTCTGGGTGGGTTGGGTCGCCTAAAGCCCTTTTCAGTTTCCTTCTTCAGCCAGCCAGGTGCTCGAAATCCATTATCAGCCAGCTTATAGCTTTGTTTTTCTCTAGATAACGTTTTAATGTTTGGCAGGCTGGCCTTTGTTTTGATATTTGCCAGCTAAAGGGTCAAGGGCTGCACCTTGGCTAGCTAGCTGTGCAGGAGCCCAGATACAGCCATAGATTTAGCCGCTAGCTACCGTTAGCAGTGATTAAACATTAGCTGACTGTGTGTTTTGGAGGTCTTGTAGGGAAATCTGCCATTATGTTTTGTTAAGATGTTTCGCTGCCTTGTCTTTTTAAAGTATTTTATTAAGTAAATCTATCCCTGACTCTTCATTGAAATGGCGAAGCGAGCGTCACTGCTTGGCTTGCTCTCATTTAAGGGGAATTCCACCAATTTTTTAAAAATTTCTGAATAATCTGATTTCTAAGATGTAAACAGTCATTAAGAGTGGTTTGGTGTGAGGTGGCTCATTGTAGAAAAGCTTACAGACCCAGATTTCTTTACAGTGGTGATAATAGGTACCTTACAACACAATTCAGCCCTTTGTTTTACTGTCCAAAACCACCAGTGAACCTACACGTTTTCTGAGCTTTTATGTGTAATGTTGATGATGATAAAATAGGCATAGATCTGAAAAATGTTTTTTTGCGGGGACTGTTTTGCCTTACAACACCCTGCATGTACCCTCCCCTATGAATAGATTAAAATAAATGGATTAAAATACATCAGCATGTATTTAACCATTTCATAGAATAACTTTCTGTGAGTGAGCTTTCAGAGGTATTATACTCCTCAGACCTTTGGCTCCTGTCAACACCACAATGAACAACTCGGCAAGTTTCTCTACCACAGAGCATTTCGCTCCAAACCACTCTGCATGGTTTTGTTTACATTTCAGCCATTTCATTATGTAGATTTTTTTTTTTGAAAAATTGGTGGACTTCCCCTTTGAGCTAGCATAGCTATTAAAAACCCCTTAGTTCTTTTATTGAGTGATGTTAATGTTGACACACCCTGTGTATTAGATTTGATTAATTACACACAGTAAATGTAGGACAGTCTTACCTAACACACATAAGGTTAGGCAGATGTTTGCTTTTGATGTTGTAGTTGCTACGATGTATCCAGCAGTTTTTCGTTCATTCACTGGATTTAGTCAAGCGACCATTCCTTAGTTGAGGTCATTGAAATGACATGTCCAATTTGTATATTCACACTCAGGGGCAAAACGGCTGTGGGGGCAGTTGCACTGGGGCCCATGGCGCAAGGTGCCCAGTCCTAGAATCTTTGTTGGCCCCCTCTTACAAATACTGACTCAATTGTGCACTATTGACTCGCAGAAAGATCCAGTTTCTTAATGACATACCAAACCAGTCGGCTTCCAACAATGCTGTGCACCCACCCTCATGTCTGTTTATCTCCTTCATATTCATAATGCAGCTCATCCATGGAAACCATTTTCAAACTGATCCTTCACAACATGCGACATGATATTCATTATTAAAAATTGTAAGATCTTAAGGAATTAGTCTAACATGAACATTTAGGTTAATAGATGTTAGCGGATGGAATGGGCTCTCTTGAGCACCAACTTTAATACATGGCATGCATGCAAAATACAAAGCCACATATTAATGTAAAGCATTTTTTGTATAGGGGGGTTCTCTAATGTTTTTCCACTGTGGCCCAAATGCTTATAACGTTCTTTTTTCTTGTCTAGAACCTCCACCTGTAACTGAGGATTTGGTGCCTTGCAAAATATGTGGACGAAGTTTTTTTTCACGAGTGCTTGTAAGTTCCTTTTTTTTTCTTGTGTATGCTGACAAGTTATGGCATTAAGTATGGCAAATCACAGTTCCAACAGAGGCAAATCACCATTTTGAATAAGCCAAGATAAAATCAAAAGACTTACACATGCAGTCTTTGAGCCCATAGTTGCTATCTTATTGATCTTTTAAATCCCTTATCAAAACAAATGAGCACATGCTTTGTTAGGTGCTCACACAAAGGAGTCCCTGAGCAGACACCGCCGATATCAGGCATGGCGACAAGAATTGCCTTATGAGTCATAAAGTACATTTTCCCACCAAACGTAATTACTCTTAAGCTGTGTTTTTTTTTGTAGATTGTTATATAGCCTAAAGAGATTTTCCACTTCCACCCTGTTATGTTGTGTAGAAGAAGCATGTGTCCATCTGCCAGAAATCAGCAGCAAAGAAAAGGAAAGTTTTTGACTCCAGCAGGCAGAGGGCAGAGGGCACGGACATTTCCACTGTGAAACCCCTCAAACCAAAGGTAAGAATGGAGCCCTGGGTTTAGGGTTGACGTTTCACAGCCTTAACACTCATCACTCATTTCTGGAGGAAAACAAAGAAGCCTTTTGTTAGAATCCTTTGCCCTGTTTACGCCTGGTCATTTCGTGCTTCTTGAATATGAGGATTACATGCAGATAGGAAATTTTGACAAAAAAATATACTGGCCGAAAAGCTGTTAAAACAGTTTTAAATAATTCACGCGCACATAAATTTATACAAGTGCAGATATACCTGTCTTGCCAAACCACATTTCACCACCAAAAAACAAAACTTCTGCCAGTATGTTATGTCATAATGCAGTCTGTGGCCACATTGGCTAAAATAACCGACTTTTAACATCACCTGCCGAAGTTAGTACTGTCTTCAGAGTTTTAGGTCATGAACAACACCATGCAAAATTGTAGAGAATTTAATCAACTTCAGTATAGAACAGGAAAAAAACGGAAACGAGAAACAACACTGCAGATGGGTTGTCATGCTATGAGCTGATTTGCGTAGTACACACCAGATGGCAGTCTGATTTCAATCTGACTTCAACTGGAGACTCATTTCAATACCAAATGTAGTTAAAGTCCTATCAGGATACAGTCCTCATACAAGTCACATGGAATGACTGAGAGTTGGCCGTTGCACCAGCTGTACATAAGTTCAAAAGTAGGCTAGTTACAAAGTTCAGATTTATGCTTTACTAAATCAAAATGGGTTGTACCACACAAACTAGCTTTTTACTTCCCTCTAAGCGGGTGTAGGTGTTAAGGAAACCACATACATAGCAAAAGAATTCCAACAACATGACAAAACTTCTTTTGGTTAAGATGACTAAGCTAAAAACACTGAATGCGCTGTGCTGTGATTTTACTCGAAGATCTAATTGCCAGCCAGGTTTTAACTTTCAGCTCCAAGCGTGAAGCTAACGTCCATAGCTCAGGTCAGTGAGACTCAGCAGTGGCCAAAGCTTTCAAATTGCTGCTGTTATCCCAGCTGGACAGAAAACTTGCTTAATGTGCCACAATCAAATATTAAAGAATAGTCAAACAAACAGTGGCAATAAGTTTTAAAGTTTTATTCAGTTCAGTTGTAAAAGTGAGCTTTGAAACTTTTCTATACCGGATATTTTCATGGGGGTTTATCTACTAGTGAAGTTGTGACCTAAAGATCTGTGGTCCAACTGAATTTAGTAAAAGGATAGTTTGAAATGATGTAGGCCCAGCCCCATTTCTAATTTTTATGCCTACCCCTTGTTTTTGAGTGTCACCTTGCTCCTTGGAACTGTGTTACCACGGGTAGTGGTTGAAGTCTTCAACTACAAAATGGGACCCTTAAATAAAAAAGAACATTACTTCATTAACAGGCTACTAGTGGTGCTCTGTAGGTGACACTGCCAGTCTGCAGTGATAACAGATGAGGGTAAAGCTCAGCAAACTCGCTGCTGGGCTTTAGTTACATTTAGGGAATCTAAGGGGGGCGGGGCAATTATTTATTATCGTCCACCCCTAATTCTTCGGTGATATGAAGCTGAAGTCAGATATTCACCAGCTTCTTGTTTGAATTTTCAAGTTCCACCTTAAATGGAGCTGCAGTTACATTCAGGTGTCAGTAATGCTGGACTGTTTAAAGTGGACAGGGAAATTTAGCTAGCTAGCTACTGAGACATTAGCATACTATTAGTGATTTTTTTTTATGCTTTTTATGAAGAAAAGGACCATAACACATTGAAAGAACATTAAATTAAGAAAATACAATAGTTATTGGAATTTGTTAATGGAGAAAATACGCACATCTGTGTGTTTGTTTTGTCACTTACGCAGCCATCTTGCCAGTTTTTCACCCCATTTGGAGTGTGCCTCTGAAAACCCTTTGTCTGAGGGCCATGCAGCCCTAACACTTCACCCCACCCCTCTATCTTAACAAAAATCGGGACACTCTACCTCTAGCCGTGAACACGCAAAACGGAGGGCTAAGGGCTAAGTGGTAGGGGCGAGGGGTGAAATGGGATTATGCCATAGTGTGAAGGACTTAGTAAAGAGGTTTAGCACAAACCTATGTAAAAACTTACGTACAACCAGTGCAACCCAGTCCAGGTGTAAACAGTGTTCTTTTTACCTACCCAAACCTCATATTATTCTCCCATGCTCTTAAATACTCTGAAAAACATTTTGATTGCATTTCAGTTACAAAGTTCTACAGGCAGCTCAAAATCTGATAAAGTAAGTTGTTTTTTAATTTTTATTTGTTTTAATTTTTTAATTCCAATTTCAAATGTGTTTGTTTTAAAAGTATTTAGAAGAAAAGTTGTAAGTTTGAACATCCCCAGTTAATGTTTAGTTGGTTTTCAAAGTGAAAAGTTAAAACATTCTCTATAGAGAAAACACTTAAATATGGCATTTTCTGCAAATCATAATGGACAATTAAAATGGACATTTTTTTTTTCTATTGGACATACTTGAAACTTAAAAACAAACTCAATTTGTAAATTATGCCATATTAAAAGCCACATTTTATGTTTTATTTGTCCCTAAAATGTTATATTCAGCAAAAAAGCCATAATTGTGCATTAAATTGACATTTGTTCTCTATAGAAGAAAACTATTTTTCACTTAAAATCAACAAAACATCATTTGACCAGGGGCATACAAACTTATGACTCCATTTAATTGAGTTTGTGCTTATCTGTGCTCTTCAGCTTCATTATATCACTAACAATATAGTCACTACTATGTTTTGATTGTGATAACTTCCTTTTGTTTGTTATAGAACTATTGACAGTCTTCATGATGCATTTATTAGAGTTTGTGAGTACCTATCACATGCTTTCTAGGACTGTGCACAAGGCTCCTGATAAAACCCTTAATCAATGAGCATGGCCACTGACCCATTGATTGGCCCTCAGAGAGGCCGCACTAATAGCTTCTTGTTGCATTTCTTTTTTAACAGATTGTAGTGAATTTTTAGCACTCTTTCTTATTCTGAGCAGGTAATTTTGGAAGCTTGCCACAAACGCTCTGTAGCTGCTGTTACATTCAGTAGAAGGCTGTCTAATATGTAGTTTTAGGAGTAAGCACTAATCTGTGTTGCTTATTTGCATTGTACCTGAACACAGTTTGCTAACATGCTTATAGACTAACTGCTTTTAGTAGTTGAAACTGCTCCTTAAACTGAAGTTTTTAGCAGCTCCTTATCACTACAATAGAACTTCAATAGTTTTGCATTGGAAAGAAAAAAAAAGTAGCCATTATTATTTAAAATGATACAGTACTGTGCAAAACTCTTAGGCAGCTAAAACTATTGTGTCTTTTTGTCAGTTAAAAAAACACTATATATCATTAGAATAAATGCCAATAAAAATACATCCAGTAAAAATAAAGTTTTTCTGATTAAAAATACAATAATTGGTTAGTTGGTTTGAAGAATACAGTTAGAAGAACAGTGGTATGGTTCGTGACTTCTCAGTGAACTGGCAATCAGCAGTTTATTATTGTTATTGGTTTGACAAAGCCAGCTTACTTTCTTATATTAGCAACCACCTGGGACACCATAGCAATGGCCTAGCAACACCTTAGCAATCTCCTAGGACACCATAGCAATGGCCTAGCAACACCTTAGCAATCACCTGGGATACTATAGCAATTGGCCTTGCAGCAACTTAGCAATCACCTGGGATACTATAGCAATTGGCCTTGCAGCAACTTAGCAATCTCCTGGGATACCATGATGTGGCCTAGCAACACCTTAGCAATCACCTGGGATACCATGATGTGGCCTGGCAGCACCTTAGCAATCGCCTGGGATACCATGATATGGCCTAGCAACACCTTAGCAACAACCTGGGACCCCATAGCAGCAGCCTCGCAACACCTTAGCAACCATGTGGGATATCATAACAGAAGCCTGTCAGCCCCTGAGAAATGACTACAGGGAAAAAGAAAGATGCTTAGCTTCAGAAATACTGTGTGTCTTATTTTATTGATAACAATATAAATCATTTTCTCTATGCTCTTTCTGAATATACTTGGGTTCCTATCAGTATACTTGAGCTTTGGGCTATAAAAAAAAAGTCTAGTAAAAACAATTTGGCTGCAAAAAGGAATGGGAATTGTATGTAAAAATCTTGATGGGTGCATCCATAATTAACAGTGGTTGGTCTTTTAAAAAAATAATTACACATTAATTGTCAGGTTAATCAATAGTTTGCTCGATTACTGTTACAATTGATAGAGGCAGCCCTGTTCTCATCATGAGGTTGAAAAGTGTGTAGGATTATATATTTATGTCCATTTCTGATCATGAACTACTACTGCCAGTTTCTATCATCATCAAACCTCTTCACTTGGAGAAATACTGTTGCATTTCTGCCTCAATGCTGATGCTTTTCCGGAGTGCCTGAATCCCTATTTTTCAAAATAGATATCAGGGTTAAGACATATGAATGTGTATCTTACATATTTTGCTTGTTCTTAGTACTGTAAACAAAAGAAATCATAATTTGCGGTTACAGGGAGATTACGGAGTCATTTTTGCAGTTATTGTCCAACCTTATTGCTGGACTTTTTGGATCTTTCGAACTGTTTGTTTATTCTTGCTTGTGCGCTGAATTTTGCGCCAGACTGTGTTTAATAGTTTTGCTCGCACTGGGCCCTACTCAACTAGCCCTGTCTGTAAATGGTGTGTTTGTGTCAACAGCCTGAACCACCCAAGAAACAGTCCAACTGGCGCAGAAAGCATGAGGAATTCATCGCTACCATTCGTGCTGCCAAACAAATAAATCAAGTAGTGAAAGACGGAGGTCCCCTCCCCCCGCCCCCACCCCCATCCTATGACCCAGGTAAAAAAAAACACTCTGCACATTGAGTTACGGCATAAAGGAACACTGTAACACAGTTCCGGAGCCATAGCATAACAGGAACCGTTTGTTCCAGATTACATCCAGTGCCCGTATTGCCAGAGACGGTTCAGTGAGAATGCAGCGGATCGCCACATTAAATTCTGTAAGGAACAGGCGGCCCGCATTTCTAATAAGGGCAAGTTCCCTGGAAGTGACAAAACCAAGCCTCCACCAAGGACCCAGGTTAGTCACTCACAGCAGTTCATAATGAGGACACGAATCCCACGTCTGTTATTACTTTAGAGTGGTTGGAAAGCAGGGTTCTCAGAGTTTCCAGTTGCTAGAAAAAACTTGAGTACACAGTCAGAATAGGAAAAAAAAGAAAAACGTGTTTTTGATGAATCATTAGTGATTGCCAGTTGATATGCATATGATACATATTTTAAATTCTTTTACTGGTCTTGCTTACAGTAAGCAGTGCCTGGACACACTTATTTATAAGCATTTCTTGCCACAAAAGGCCAGACTACCCAAAAGGCTAGATTAAGCCTAAACGTAGATTAAAATGAATGTCCAATGTTGATTCACCATTGATGCCACAGTTTAGTCCAAGATAAGGCTAAATCCATGTCTGGGAAACAGGCCTGTAGTGTTTTTATATTTTAATTATGAAGTGTTTTCATGGCTTTCTAGTTTATCCTTTTCCAATGAAGTATTTCTCAATCTTTGAAAGGCTGTACATGTTTTGTTATTGTTCAGCTAAGCCTATTTATGTGATTTGATCTTCTACAAACAACCCTGACTACTTGATTCATCATCAAAATAATGAGTAAGTGCTTGATCAGTAATGTAATCTACAAGCCTGTTTCCAAAGAAGTTGGGATGCTGTGCAAAATGTACGTAAGAACATGACGTACAAATCAATTAAACCCTGTATTTAATTGAAAATAGTACAAAGACAACATATGAAATGTTGTAACTGAAATTTTATTGTTTTTTGACAAATATATGCTCATTTTTAATTTTATTCCAGCAACACGTTTCAAAAAAAGCTGTGACGGGGCAACAAAAGACTGGTGAAGTTGTGTCATGCTAAAAAAACACCTGGTGGAACATCTCACAGCTAATAAAGTTAACCTTTATTAGTCTTTCAGAAGTAAAGGTAGGGAGAGGTTCACCACTCTGTAGAAAGTGCAACAATTCAGAAATAAAGTTTCTCAATGTAAAATAGCAAAGCACTTGGGGATTTCATCATCTACGGAATGTAATATCATTGAAATTCATTCAGCGAATCCAGAGAAATTTCTCTGTGCAAGGGACAAGGCCGAAAACCAACATTTAAAAAGGAAACCATACATAAACAGGATCCAGAAACACCACCTCTTTCTCTGGGCCCAAATTGATTTAAGATGGACTTAATCAAAGTGTCCTGAAGTCCAACGAAAATCAAAATTTGAAATTCTTTTTGGACTCAATGACGTTGTGTCCTCTGAGCTAAAGAGGAGAGGGACCATCCGGCTCGTTAATAGCGCACAATTCAAAAGCTAGCATCCATAATGATGTGGGGGTGCATTAGCGCACATGGTATGGGTGATTTGTACATCTGTGAAGGCACCATGAAAACTGAATGATATATACAGGTTTTGGAGCAACATATGCTGCCATCCACACAGCATCTTTTTCAAGGAAGGTCTTGCTTATTTCAGCAAGATAATATCAAACCACATTCTTCACATATTACAACAGCATGGCTCCATAGTAAAAGAGTCTAAACTGGCCTGCCTGCAGTCCAGACCTGTCACCCACTGAAAACATTTGCCTCATTATGAAACAAAAAATACAATATAGGAGACCCCGAACTCTTGACCAACTAAAATCCTATATCAAGCAAGAATGAGAAAACATTTCACTTTGAAAACTATAGCAGTCTGTCTCCTCACTTCTTTGAAACGTGTTGCTGGCATGAAATTCAAAATGGGCAAATATTTTTCAAAAAAACAAATTTTAAGCTTCAACATTTGAGATGTTTTGTTTTTGTACTATTTTCAATTAAAATTATGGTTTAAATTATCTGCACATCATTGCATTCTGTTTTTATTTACATTTTGCACAGCGTCCCAAGTTTTTTGGCAACGGGGTTGTACACTGAGCTCTATTGTTAAGAACGAGAAAACATTGATGTGAAAGAGGCAAACTTCTCTGTTTTTGCAGTACAAGCCTCCTCCAGTGAAGAAGGCAAATTCAGTATCTTCAGTGTCTTCCTCTCGCCTTCCGCAGCGTTCAGCCTATGGACAAGGTGGAGGAACAGGTATTGACTGATTGACAGCGGTATCAGTATCAGACTCTGTGAAAACATGTACAGTTTGACAGCAGTTGCTTAAAAACGTGGGCATGTGGACCCCCCCCCCCAAAATAGTGTTGATGATTTAGACGTATAACTGTGTGAGGGCAAGCACCAACATGAACTTGGTGATGCAGGAAATGTTTGAGGCATAACAATCATCAGTATCTTGCTGAGCAAGTATAACTTAAGACTGTGGAATTTAAACTCCTTGGTCTAAAGGTCCTGGCGGGTCTCAGCTTTGTAGAAATTTGCAGAGTGAGCGTTTTCCCTCTTGTTCACACTAAATCAAATGTACCCCAAATGTAGTCGATCAGCCAAGGCAGATAGATAAGTGTGTCATACAGGCTCAGAAACCACATAAGCTGCTATTTGAGATCAGCAGTTTAAGGGAAGTGTATTATGCAGTTGCTATTTGCACGATATTAAAAGGTGTTAATTAGCTTCCATAGCTTGTTAGCTACATTAGCTTGGTAGATCCAGCGTAAGATTAAATAAACAGACTTTATTTTTTATTTTTTATTTTAAATTTTTACCCGGTTTTCTCCCCAATTTAGTCTTTGCCAATTCCACCTGCTAGTTAGGACTCCCCCAATCACACACGACGCTATCAACGCTAGGAGGACGAGGCTAACACAGGCTTCCTCCGAAACCTGTGAAACCAGCCACCGCATCTTTTCGAACTGCCGCTCACGCAACGTCTTTGGACAGCTGAACGCGCTCGGAGGAAAGCGCCAACCGCCAGATCTGTTACGTCAGCTAACAGACGCCTGCGCTGACTAGCATTGCGCTGGGTGATGGGGGGAGAAAGGCAGCCATCTTACCCACCCAGAGAGAGTGAGGCCAATTGTGCTCTCTTGGACTCCCGGCTACGGATGGCTGTAACATCACCAGGGATCGAACTCGCGATCTCCTGATGATGGGGCCAACGCTTAGACGGTTGCGCCACTCGGGAGCCCAATAAACAGACTTTAGACATCATCAAACATTGTTAGGCTCTTTGATTCCATCTGGGGTAAGAGGAAAATTTTGTACACTTGCATTGGCTTAAACCAATGTTCGTACTAAATGGAAAGTGAAGAGTTTCAGAGAAGAGAGTGGGACATTTACCATTCTACAAAAACAGACTTGATCTCAGAATAATGTAGAATTTATGAGGGTCCTGATAATATATCCACTTTGGCCAGTGATTGCTATAGGTTTTTTTTTTTTTTAAATCAGTCCTAAATCAGTACCAGTATAGGACATCAAAGCACGCTACACTTCTAAGAGCTCTTTACCTCATCAGGGATTCCCAGCAGTAAAACCTCGGCTGGCACAGTGAGGAGCATGTCTTCTGGCTACTCTCCATCTCGCACCAACTCCAGCGGCCTGACCAGTCCTCCATCTGGGTAAGACATGCTTCAAGCTGAAGTCCGTGATGACTAAGATTTTTTTATGAGCTAGTTTTTTCTATTCATTTTTTCCATGTGATGTGTTCACAGTGTTAGTATGAAGCCCAAAGGCGTAGTTACTCAGAGTAGTCTGAAGAACACCTCTGGAATAGGAGTGAACAAGAAGAAGGTTTACAATGCAGACAACTACAATTCAAGGTACATACAGCACAATACCACTTTATATTTTCTGGTACCTAGAGCAGTGGTTCCCAAACTCTTTGACATCCTCAAGCTGCTCAAACACACTTCTGCCCTACAAAAAGGAATACATGGCCAACAACATGATTTACAGTAATGTGCAAAAGTCAGAACAGCTACAAAAAAAGTTCACAAAATGATTAAATGATAAATAGAAAATGGGACGAACAACTGTGCAAGACCACCAAAACTTTTGAAAAAAATCAGATTTTTCTGTCCATCTTTCCACTGCGTGAATACAACTAAACGCTACTGGTCAAGAAGTTGTAGCTGTCAAGAAGCCCTTACTGAGAAAAGGACAACAAATAGCTGAATATTTGTACTCAAACAAAGAAGCTGTTGGTGTTCTCAGAACAATGGACGTGCTACCCTAGAGTACAGACCTCAACAACATTGAATGTGTTTGGAACTAATTGAATTGTGAGAAACAGAAAGTACAACTAACTTCTAAGATGGACTTTAAAGGTTTGCAAAAATATCCCTGGTCATTTCTTTGATAAACCAATTTTCATTAATGATATCTTTAAACTAAGACTGAACTTTGCAAGTGTGGAAAAATATCCCTGCAGATTTCATTGAGAAACTGAAAGCAAGTCGCTAAAACAGAATAGAAGCTGTAGAAGGAAAAAATGATGGACACACAAAATACTGAAAAACCAGAAATTATGTTTAGTTTTTGATATATGTCTTTATACATTTTTGTTAAATATGCTATCTGTTTTTCTCCTGGTGCTGCATGATGTATAACTTGTACATTGTGGTTGGACTCTGGGTGGTCTCTGACTGAGTGGTCTCATGACTTTCGCATAATACCATAATACTGCATACAAAATCACAGTTTTTAATTCAGTTCACCTCTTTGACACAAAAACCCAGATAAATCATTGTTAGTGTGAATGTGTCCAAAATTAGAATAGGACTTTAAATATAGCACTTGTATAATAGCTGATCGATGGGTTAATGTTAGGCTGCATGTTGTTGTATGACCTACTTTTCTATATTTTGCATTAAACCCTTCATTTGTTTTTTCTATCTGATGTTTGGTCCAGCATTTTCTGTTGGGTATCTGATCTGTGCCATCTGCAAATCCAAGTATAATTCTTTCAGTGGTGCAGAATAAAGTCCACAAGACAGTCCATTTCAGGCAAGCGATGCCTCGACACATTGAGCAAGAAAGGATGATTTACAGGATGCCCAGAGAATTGTGGCAGTGAATGTCAATAGCATGGTGGGAGTGCTGCTCTTTGTTTTCTGTGTCAAACAGGCCCCTGTTGTCCTTTCAGCCTTTTGTTACAATATTTTCTCACTTCTTAGGAACGATGTGAAAAATGAGAATGAGGTGGATTACTCCATACAGGGGACCAAGTTCTGCCATGAGTGTGGGACCAAATACCCTGTGGACTGGGCCAAGTTTTGCTGTGAGTGTGGGGTGAGAAGGATGTGCATTTAGAGAGTGAAAGAGAAAGGGTTTGGTAAATGTTTCAGTGCTGAGCTTTTCCTTCCATCACGCTAGTGCCCTGGTTGCATACCCTGTTCACGATTTACAGCCCTTTTCTATTTTTTTTTTAAACCCTCAATTTTCTTGTGTTTATTATTGAAGTGCAATATGATGAACTACTGATTTAAAAAGGAAGACAATTTTTTTAATCAGGATCTACATGGGTAGAACCATATTTAGAATTAAGAGACTTCTAAAAGTGGAGCCTATCAGAGCTTGCAATTGATTACTGAAGTCAATATCCCAACATTGCATCTCGATAAGGGAATTAAACAAGGAATGGAAGTATTTTTACTTAATTTATGTTATTTATTACCATATAATTGATACACGTTTAGAAGTGACGCTTACACCATGCAATTCAGTTTTGTATCACCTTTGTGTTTTGTATTTCTTAATGCTTAAAAATTATGTTCCTAGTATTTTTATCTGTATTGAATGTGAAATGTATGAAAGGTACATTCACTACACGTAGCAACAATCCATCACAGTCCTCCCCTCAAGCTTGAATGTGCTTGGTCCGCAAACATATTCAAACGACCCCACAAAACCTCAGCTCAAAGACGACTGAAATGTCAAACACGACATTGCTATACTATTTGACCACTTCAAACTGTATGCAAAGAGTAGCTTTATAGTCTGGTCCATTGCCCCAGGGCCTTTTAAAAGCTGTTATCACTGCAGCTCAGCCGAGGTCTTTACCATGTTAGTTTACGTAAGCTAAAAGGCCTCAGAGTCAAAGCTCTGGTTAGCATCTCACTCAGCTGTTACAAAGGCAGTGCAATTCTAATGAGCTTGTGGCGTCTGCCCTCCGTCCGATGTATTTAACATTTTTGTGTGGCAGAAAGAATACAGGCTGGATATTGACAATAGATTTGTCATTCTATGAACAGAATGTCAAATGCATTTTATATCCTCCTTAAATAAACATTAATGCGAGTGAAAGGCTTGTGTTCTTGTGGTTACTGAGTTTGATGTCTTTTCTTGACTCATTTGGTTTGCTAATGGTTAAACTAGGCATGGTCAGTGTAAAAATGAAGTGAAAAAAGAATATAGGATCTTCATATAAAAATATATTTATTCATAGAGAAGAGTATTAGGATCATAGAGAATGTTAAGCATTAAACCAGATTTGTGTGCATTACCACAAACCTATAGAGAAAGAATGTACATTGTGTCTATGTATAACATGCGCAAATGATTGTAGAACTTGTGTACAGTGACATGACACAACATGCCAAGCAGTGCAGGAAAACAAAGTGGATATCCATGGTTTCTAAATAGTTACAAACATGGGATGCTGGTGAAGCACATGGCTTCAGAAAGGTCTGCTTGATTCACAGCAGTTAGTCCTATGGGTGAAAACATGCACTTTGTCCATGAAAGCATCTCAGAGTATCATCACTGGCAGGGGTGTGGTCAATCAGGTATGCACCTGATTTTGCTTCCTTTCCTGGCAGTGGATGTTGTTCACCAGTCCCTTCATCATATGTTTGTATCCTCTCAAATAGATAATGCAGGAATGCAGTGCCCTGGTTTGGAGCGAAGCCGAGCTTCATTGTTTTCTGAATGTCTCTCACAGGGCCCGCACTTAAGGAGCGGAGTTGTACTGTTCGTAGGCTTTCTGTATTTTCAAAAGGCCGTTTTTCAGTCTGCAAAGCTTCCTGTGTAAAGGACCTTTTGACAGCTCCCCCTTAAATGACAAAAGCAGTAAATGACATGTTAATTTTACATGGTAGTTAATAATGCATTAAGCCGTGAGAGGATGTGCATTACAGTGAGGCGTGGTGTTGGAAGACTGCCTAAAGTACTATTCAGACATGATTTCCTGAGGAGTAGTGTAATTGTTACTAGTGTTTGAAGCAATTTTTAGTCCCCTCTAAATCCACCATGCCAATCATTTTTACAAATTTTAATGTAATTTTTACAATTTTTACTATTGTGCCAGTAAAGACTTTGACGGCTTTTTATCTACATAGAAATAAATTTGGGTTACAGTCGTATGCATAAGTTTAAACAACCCTGGTCAATGATTTTTTTTTGTGAAAATAAGGTAACGCATCCTCTACAGGGAACACACTTAACTATGACATTTATCTGCAAATTGTAGTGTACATTTTCATTTGCTAAATTTTGACCTATTGGAAAAAATCAAACATATTGAATGTGTCATATCTTTTGCATGCTTCACATTTTGGCAAGGCACGTTTATTTATATGCCACATTTCAAACACTGCAGCCATTTAGAGTGCTTTACAAATGATGTAACAGACAATTCAAGTTAATTTAAAAAGTAACAAAGGTGAATAGAAATTAAAAACAAAAGTGAGAAGTGCAGTGGAGCTAACAGTATTTTAAACTGAGCTGCTCGAATAAGAATGTTTTCAGCCTGGATTTAAGCGTCTAGTGTCGAGGCTCTTCTAATGCTTTCTGTCAACTGGTTCCATTTAAGAGCAGCATAGTAGGTACACGCTGCTTCTCCATGTTTAGTCTTCACCTTCGACGGGACTAACTGACCAGTCCTTAATGATCTGAGAGTTCTGCTTTGCTCGCATCACCTCAGCGGTACAGATACATATCGCTGTTGTCGGAAGAAAACCTTGTATCTCCAAATTGGTAACTTGGAGAAGGAAAAACCTACTTTACTTTTAATGTAAGTCAATGGAGCCAGACTTATTTCCCCAAGTCATTTTGGGCCATTCATCATGAAATTTGCACACGATATAAAGAGCAACAGGCATTTTCAAACTGATGTCAAAAACTGAAAAATGGAGATACAAGGTTTTTGTCCAACAGCAGCGTTATGCTGGTCCTACACTATTAAGCAATTTATAGACCAGTAGTAGTACCTTAATCTCTGTTCTGTAACTTACTGGTAGCTTTCAGAATGGGGGTGATGTTCCCTCCTTTTACTCATACTGATAACTCTGGCAGCTGCACTTTGAATCAACTGAAGCTGTTTAAGTTTTACTATTTTTTTTTTCAATATGTTAATTATGTTAATTCAGCGACTAAACAGTAATTGTGCATTAAATGTGTAGAAATGCACTGTAGAGGATGTGTTGCATTATTTTCACTTAGAGAATCAACAAAATGTGGCAACCCAAACTTTGGTATACAACTGTACATGTACAAGTGAACTGACAAGTCGGTAAATATACCACCATATCCTATGGAAGCATGGTTTTTTATCAGTATGAAGGCACTCTTGTGTTCTCTGCAGCCCAAACTGAGCAGAGATACATCGTCTTACCTCAAGCGTATAATTCAGAACATTAAAATATGTAAAATGACAGGAAGAAAGTGGTGACGTTTACTGTTGGCTGTGAGTGCGCACACACTTTATTTGCTTATGACCTGGTTAGGCTAAATGAAATTACAGTTAAGTGTTTGGACACGTTTTCTGATTGTGAGCAGACAAATATTTGGAACTTTAGGAACTTCTTGGTGTGGCAGCAATGCGTAAATGGAGTAGCAACTCCCATCTCTGCTATTTATACCGATTTTTTTTTTGCCTGAGTGAACTGGCCATAAACGTTACAGTCTGGTGGTTGTATTATATTACGCTTCTGATATCTGATCCAGCATTTTCTGCTTATATCAGTCCAGTACCTGGTACCGGCTTGGTGCCACGTCCAAAATAAATGCAATGTGGTTAGTTGGTGCTAGGTTTTGTAATAACCTGGCACATTTATACAGAATTTAACTGATGTGTGCAGTCATATGTGTGTTTAAAGTGTATTTAGCAAAGGCTTAGCCAATCCGATTTGAGAAATGTGTGGATGCCAATGCATCTGCCTAACTTCATTTCAATAACTGCCTTACCTGCTGGGTGGAGCATTGACATCCTAGAGATGCATTTATAGCTCCCACAAGCCTCGTCAGTTTGTCAGCCAGGTCTTTGTCTAAATCCTTCGGTGAGCGTTTACAGGACTCGGTGTGGATGTATTGTGTTGCCTGTGAGGATTAAAACATCAATGGGTGAGTCAAGTCAACAAGTGCAACTACCTTTTCAGACACTAGGAGGCAGCAGAAATCTCATGTTCTGGCTGTGGTCTAGGTTAAATCCCGAGTTGCCTTTATTATTAGTCATCGCTGGTGTTTCATAATGTTACATATTACAGTAACAGTGATACTGGCAAAGTGGTTTTCTAACTTAACTCCTTTCATCTGCTAGGGAGACGGGGTAGATCTTTGGATTAGTCTGGCTTTCCCAATAGTCAGATAATTGTTGTGTTTGTCATTGTTGGTCAATCTAACCCCTACGGTCATTAATAAATACCTATTACTGTCAGGTGCTGTGTTATGTGTTTTGAGTCAGCAGTGAGCACGAAGAGTCCACAGCCTTCCTGACACTAAAACACTTACACTGTCCATTGGAAGCTTTGTAATGTTTTTTTCCCTGCAGGACCTATTCAGCTGCTTTTCAATGCTGATCTTCTGTAAAGAGAAAATATCAACATTTTTTAGGTGTACATGCAAAACATACCATGGCAATCATATCTAAATGCATGTTGGTTTCTGTTATTCGTGCCAGACTTACAGTGTCCTCCAGATGTTTACTAATGACATGCTGGTAGTCTAGAGAAATCTGTTCTTTAGGCTTAGTGCTTTCACAGGAGAAGGCAAGAGGTAGTAGGATAAATGCCACAACAGAAGTACCAAGAAGATGCTAGGAATGAGAGAGAGACAGACAGGTAGTAACTGGTTACACTTAGTAAATGCACATCTGATGGGGTTATACCGTCCTGAGACAGTACATCCCCTTCAAATCATCACGGTACTTCAAGACATTTTTACTGTACTCAAGATATTCAGTTTTTCAGAGGTTTGATTAGTTGGACATGACAAAAAAAAAAACAGCAGTTTCAAATTAATATTTTTAAAAGCTAATTATTGTCTTCTTGTAATGAAACATGCAGCAGGTACTGACGATATCCATGAAGCCTACTGTGACTAAATATAATGCAATTTATCATGACTATGATGACTGTCGTCTTACTGCCCACCCCCTTTTTTAAATGATAATACTTCTTCTACTCAAATTTATTTGTGAATAGTTTTCACTCATGTTACAGTTGCGGTCTTTAGCCTTTAGTCATTAAGTCCCTTGTTGTCTTTTTTAATTTAACAGTTGGTGACAGTAGCTGTCCTGCTTTGTGATTGGTCAGTTTCGAGTTTTTACTGTTTGTTTTAGACAAAGATTCCATTGCAATGAGAAGAACAGCACCTAATAAACTTCAGTACACATACACTAACAGAGATGCTGGATGCACTCAAAAGTCTTACTGCAGTTCTTTGGGGAACTCAGTACATAATTACTTGCTTACACTTCTAAAAAAGATGGTTCTTCAAGGGGACTTTAGTAGAGGAAATGGATCTAATTAGTGCCCTGAGTTCTATATAAAACGTTTCAGGCTTTAATGGCTCTTTGTGGTAAAATACTTCTTCAGCTTGGTGGAGAATGTGTTGTATATGGTTCCATATAGAACTTTTTTGAAAATAGTTTTGTATAGCACCAAAAAGGGTTCTTCTACCATTATGATGTCAAGCTTGTAACAATAGAAGAACCCTTGTTGATGCTATATAGAACCATACACGACGCATTCTCCATCAATCTGAAGAACTTTTTCACCATGCAAACATATATGTGTGTAGATACACACACATTAAGGACACACGTAATTCTTATTCTTGTGTGTGCATATATATGCACACACACACACACACGAGTGTGTGTATACAAAAAGCTCAATAAAAACATTTTATTTATATATATATATATATATACATATATATATATATATTTATGAAGCTTTTTGTATAATAAGGATATGGACAAGGATAAGAATTGAGTGTGTACTTTTTGTTTACTAAATTACCTAACTTATTTTTTTTTCTCTGAATTATTTTTGGAAGTCTTTTTTTCTTTTACTAACTGCTTT